TTACGTTTCTATGTTTCACCAAACTAAAATGAAATAAAGCTCACCTTGATTATTCTTGTTAGTCATCTATTTAGTTTGGCCACTGTTCTAACAATCACTAACTGGTCAAAATAAACCCTGAATTAACCAAGTTAGATGTGAAAATGCACTGTTTTCCCCCCACGGTCTCTCTTTCTGCTGTTGCTGGCCAGCTGTTGACAGTCCAGTAATGTCATCCACACCCCTACCACACCGACACTCGTGTCTGTCAGCTCAGCTCCCTGTAACTAGTGTTTTCATAATTTCTGTTACTCTGGTATCAAAAACAATCAGACATTTCCATCTGAAATACACCTTGTGTTCGTGTCCTCCAGATCTTCATACTTCTTTTGTGGTTTATCAAGTTTGCCAGTCGTGTTTTTGAATTCATTCTTTAGGAAGTCCTTTACCCATTCTGTGATGGAGTCGCTGAAAACCTTCTTGACAAGTTCAATTAGAGAATCCACCAATATCTTGCTGATTTAGCTGATGAACGTCCGTGAAACAGCAGATCAATCTGCTTATTGTGTTTTTGATGTCAAGTTTGGTCGAGGTAAACCTGTGCTGCACTGTGGCGCAGTCGTCTTCACACACTGTGTTTGTCTTGATTCAGTTTCTTTGCTTGTTTGTTGCGTTTATATTTTGTAAATGTTAGTTTGGTTGATCTAAAAGACAAAACAAGCGTTTGACATGATGGACAGCTGCAGCAGCATATCATTAACATCCCTAGAGGTCAGCAGGACGGTTGGTCAGTCAGGCCTGAAACATGAAGCTGTTTACCAAAAACAGACTGGCCTGGAATCTGTTCTGAAACAGGATGCAGTAACGTGATGCTGCTAACATTCCACCTCTTCACATCTGAAACTGTAATACTGTAATGTTTCTGTTTGGACAGCGCTGCATTTGACCTGATCAACAGCTGGTTCTGTCATATAGGTCACTGTTTGCCACAGCTTGATATGTTTACTTGGGTGGAACAGTATGTGACAGTGCAGTGTGTGCCGGCAGTGTGCCAGGGAGCAGCATTGTGATGTGTGTGACTGAGTGGCGTTGTGATAGCTTGCTTTGTCTGTTGTTGCACTCACAGTCTTACTACACGATGTATCTTCATAGAATGATTTGTTTGATATCCTTCAAATTAGTGCCCCACGAAAGATGTTACATCCATAATGTACAGTTACATCACTGACATAAATTTACTAAGGTTAGGTTTAGGAAAAGAAACATGGCGAGGACGTACTGTAAAATGACTCAGAGTTTGCTCAAATTTTACACAGTTACGAATACGCGTCTCCAGGGAAAGTCCACTTTTTTGTGATCCAGCACCCCAATCTGCCTCCTTACAAGACTACTCCGGACTGCTTCCTTGCTTACTCCAGTCAGCACATTGGTCACATGATTGCAGTTTTTCAAATTACATAGGATATGTATGAATTTGGGTGCATTACTTTTCGTAGGAAAACATATGAACAGTTAATGAGAACAGCTATCTGGGGGGTCTTAATGTACCTGGGTGGATGTTAATCCTTAGGGGTCCATGAGGTTCTTCGGATGATCCATCCATGTAGAGGTTTTAGAGGTTCTTAGGGCAGTTCGAGAGATACTTAAGGGGTTCTAGTAGTCCAGGTTTTTAGGTTTCACGTGCTGTTGCATAAAGATGTAAATGTGTGGACAGGTGTGTTCAGGTAAAATGTCACCTGTGTGTTACAGGAGGTGTTCGTCTGGTCAGTGTGAGTTGCGGCAGTCAGAACGTCTGGGCTGTGGACAGTCGAGGAGTAGTTTACTTCAGAGTCGGAACCCAACCTCTGAACCCGAGCATGATGCTACCGGCCTGGATTCAAATAGAACCACCTGCACAGGTAACAGAGAAACATTGGACTCACATAGAACCACCTGCACAGGTAACAGAGAAACATTGGACTCACATAGAACCACCTGCACAGGTAACAGAGAAACATTGGACTCACATAGAACCACCTGCACAGGTAACAGAGAAACATTGGACTCACATAGAACCACCTGCACAGGTAACAGGGAGGATCCACATACAGTAGAACCACGCTTACAAGTAACAATGAAACTCAGGATCTGCGTAGAACCACGTTTACAGGTAACAGGGAAACTCAGGATCCAAATACCTGTCCAGGTAACTGTGACATCATGTCTCTGCAGCCAATCGGAGTGCAACTGGTCAGTATTCAGACGTGTCCTAACGATCGTCTTCTCTGGGCATTGGACAACAGAGGAAGTGTCTTCGTCAGAACTGGACTCAGTGATGAGATGCCTGTGGGGACGGACTGGGAGCTGGTACCAGGTACATTCCTGTCTGTCTGATCGACACACCTGTCTGTCTGATCTATACACCTGTTCAGTTAGAACACTGAGTCCCGTTCTTTGGAGCTCATGGCTGAGCTGTGTAGACATGGATTCAGTGTGAGTCACCAGTATGTTTACTGGTGCTCCTGGTCTCAGTAATATTGTGTAAACTGCATTGACACATTGTGTTTACTGTTCTAATACCGTGTGTACTGTATTTGAATGTGTGTACTTGTATTTGTGTGGAATAGGTTTAGCCGTCAGTCAGCTGGTCCTCAGCTCTCGGACAGTTTGGGTTCGGTGTGTAAACGGAGATCTGGCTCGACGCTATGGCGTCTCTGAAAGAAACCCTGCAGGAGATTACTGGAAGAAGATCCCTGGAAACGCCAACTGGTTAACTGGTAAGACTGTGTTCATACATACTGGTGACAGGACAGGTGTAACAGACTGATGCTCAGGTGTCTCAGGTAACTCAGGTGTCTCTTTCTCTCTTCAGTGACTCCGGATGACGAGTTGTGGGCAGTGACTCTGATTGGTGGATTGTCTCGTCGGCTGACCAAGCCCCTCCCACAGACTCTATGTAGACCCGCCCCCTCAGGCCCCGCCCTCAGCAGGGACGACATCGATGATGAATGGGAGCTCATCTGACCAATGACATCGCTGTGATGTCACCACTGTTTGGTGTCGGTCTTGTGGGTTGCAGTGATGTCACAATGACACCACTTCCTGTTTACAAACTTGCTCCTGAAGCAGTAAGTGGACTGTGTGATGTCACCGCTGGACCGACACTGCACAGGCAGGTGACATCACTTCCTGGGACTTTTAAGACTAGAGGACATTTTTGAAACAAGGTGGCTGCACAGAGGGAGCCCAGGTGGCTGCTGAGAAATGAAGTGAACTGAGACTTTGTTTTATTTTTTGTTTTAACAGAAAGCACTTTATTCTAAAGGGACAGTGGGTTCTGACTGGTTCCTACTGGGCGTCAAACGGCTCGTTCTTCTCCAGCTCCAGTTCAAACTGGTTCAGTCTCAGTTGGCGTGGCTCAAAATGGTCCTAACTGGTTCTAACTGGTTCTAAATCTACTAATATTTATTCCAGTTTAGTTACATACTGGTTGTTGAGGATATTAAAGGGACATTTCACATTTTACTCCAGTTTTGTTCATTCTACGTCAAACTGGTTTGGAGCGGCTCGGACTGGTTTCTTGACCGGCAGTGAGGTTTAGCTCTGAGGTCTCAACTGGATTTATATTAAAAGATAAAACTCTTGGGAATGGTCCTTTAAACTCGTTGTCTTCTCTCCTCCTCGTCTCCGACAGCATTGCCATGGAAACCTGTGAAGATGTGACTCCGTTGTGATGTCATGGTGATGTCAGCTGATGGGTAGGATGTTCTGCTGCTGACCAATAAGAATTCAGTGTAAACTCACCTGTTGTGTGGTTTCATTAATTATTAACTTAATAAACATGTTTAAACACAACAGCGTCAGTTTATTGATCAGGTTATTGAATCAGAGGGTGATTCCCATTGCTGTGACACGCTTGTTGTCATGGTTTTTAGTTGATGAAGTTATTGATGGGACAAAATAGCAGAGGCTGTAGTAAGTCACACATGTGCAAGTCTCAAGTCATAACCTTCAAGTCTCAGCTCAGTGTAGCAGTATCAAAACCTCGTACAATAAGAGGAGAGCCTGAGCGTGTAAAGCCAGTGACTGTGTGTGCATAACGGCCCGGAGCTGACAGTGTGTCACTGGTTGCAAAGCACGTTCAATACTGAGTGAGTTACTGAAAACTTAACTCACATGTATCCCCCACCTCTGCAAAATATACATAATTAATTGTGGCACATGCTGAAGTAATGTGGCAAATAATGTTGACCCTAACTTGACATTCTCACAAGACAAGTCTGATCTGGGACGGGACATGAAGGACAACTGGTTAATTTAATAATAATAATAATAATGATAATAATAATAATACACTTTATTTATTTAGCACCTTTCATACAAGAAAAGCAGCACACTTTACAATAAGGACAGTACAAGCACTGAGTGCTTCACATGAAGAAAGACATAATGGACACATCAGAAAAAGTCATAAAATCAGATTAGTAAAATTCATTCATTCATTTTCTATAACCACTTATCCTGTTAGGGGTCGCGGGAGGGCTGGAGTCTATCCCAGCTGACATTGGGTGAGAGGCAGGGTTCACCCTGGACAGGTCACCAGACTATCACAGGGCTGACACATAGAGACAGACAACCATTCACACTCACATTCACACCTACGGACAATTTAGAGTCACCAATTAACCTGCATGTCTTTGGACTGTGGGAGGAAGCTGGAGCACCTGGAGGAAACCCACGCTGACACAGGGAGAACATGCAAACTCTGCACAGAAGGAATCCCACACCCTGGGTTCGAACAAGGAACCCTCTTGCAGTGAGGCAACAATGCTAACCACTGCACCACCATGCTGCCCTAATAATAATAACAAACCTTATTTATTTAGCACCCTTCATACAATAAATGTTTTACAATAAGGGCAGTACAAGCACTGAGTGCTTCACATGAAAATAAACATAATGGACATAAAACAAAAAGTCATAAAATCATGACATCATAAAGTCATAGAATTGTAAACTATAAATCATAAAATCAAGTAAGATTTTAAAGCGTTGCAGCAGCATGAAGCAGTTGGGTTTTATTTATTTTCAACATGATTTTCAACAAAACATGAGCCCAACAGGTTTCAGACAACACGTCAACAAGTGTTTCCAACATACAAGAAGCAAATGTCTGTCATTTTTTTAAGATAAATACATTTTATTTACATCACAGTGTTGATCAAAGACCTGAGCTGAAGAAGGAAAGAAACAAAAAGAAATGATTTACTTGCCAGGTAGTAAAGTGTATGTCTGATCTTACATCCCGTTGAATGAAGTCAGTGAGATCATTAGGCCTCTGTACGTCCAGAAAACTGGTGTAATCTCCCTTTGATATTCACATGAAACACGTTCCTCATTGTGTTACAGGTTTTTCATTCAGGACACAAGAGTCAGTGCGATTAAAATGGACACCTCCTCTCTCTGGTTCTGGATCGGACATGAACAGACACACTCACACAGAGGAGACTGACAGGGATCAGTTGTGTTTCTAACATGAGGTGTTGTGTTCCTGTATCTGACAATTTATAAACTGAGGGGATGATTAAGTGATATGATTGAGGATATCGAATATATTTTATTTATTTTTGAATGTCTTTTTTTAGACAGGGTGCAGAGATGACAGGAAACAATGATGTCGAGCCGGATTCGAACCTGAGACGTATTTCCTGTTGTGAAGCGTTAAAGCACAGAGAACTCTTCTTCTGTCTCGTCAGGACACTGAGGTAGAAACATCAGATTTACATGTGTCAGACTCTGTAGGTGACTCAGCAGAATTGATCGCCGATCAGTGATCAGGTCTGTTTTTAGTCTTGATTTACATTCTATTTACATCATCAATATACCGTCCAATCACAGCAGTCCTGAGGTGATGGCAGTGTTGTTTGCATGGTGACAGATGATGTCACTGCCAGCTGTGTGGCTGCAGGAAGTCAGGCAGCGTGGTGATGTGGTCAGGGCCGGACCGGGCCAAACACCTGAGTGCCTGCAGCAGTAGGGGGGGCGGGGCTAGACCGCACAGCCAGCTGAACACTTCATTTCCCAGCAGGCCTTGCCAACGATGTGGCTCGTCCCGCAGGTGGCACAGCGACGGTGGTTCTGGCAGGAAGAGCAGTAGAAAGTCGAGGCAGCGCTGTGCGTGGCGTCGGTCTGTCGCCTCAGAGGTTACAAGTCGCTGCAGTGCGGCATCGAGGCCGTCAGGCAGCGCACCGTGAGCCAGCAGCAGCAACAGACATTCAGGCCGTGACAGCTCCACCGCCAGCTGCACCGCCGTCTTCCCTGAGTCTGCCACATGTGAGCAGCCGCCACAGCTGTCCAGATAGTTCTGCCGCATGCTCTTCGAGTCACAGTCCTTCAGAGCCTCTACCATCATGCTAAGGATCGACACGCGGTCATAGCGCACCGCCATGGTCAGGTGTGGCGCGCCGCTACTGCGGCAGCAGCAGAAGCTGCAGCGAGGCGGTTTGAGCGCGCTCAATGAGTACGTGGTGAGTAGGTAGCGTGCATAGTCCTGGTGGTCGTGCACAAGCGCATAGAGCAGTGCCTCAGATGGCAGGAAGGGTCGAGGCTGTCCGTCTTCCCAGCTGAAGACCTCCATACTACGCATGTCCTCCAGCAGCCAGACTGGCAGCTGCTCCCGCACTGCACAGTAGAACGAAAACGATGTCCGCTCACACTGACGCTCAGTCGGAGACGAAGACAGATGCTCCAACTGAGAGGACAACAGCCACGGCATGATGACACACCTGGAGAGACACTGTGTACACCTGTCCTGAAGGAGACACAAGACACACCTGGAGAGACACTGTTAACGCCTGTCCTGAAGGCACCTGGAGAGACACTGTTTACGCCTGTCCTAAAGAAAACACAAGACACGCCTTGTCTGAGGGAGACAGACTCCCTGACTGATCCTGGTTCAGACACAAACAGTCTGCCTCTCAGTCAAACCTCCGTCCTCAGCGCCTTCACACTTTTATAGCTTCTCCTCCGTCACTGCAGCTCCATGTGTGGATGTTTGACACGGGGGAGGGGGTGTCTCACATTGCATACATAGCGAACATAGTGGCCTATAAATGGCTGCAGTTTATGTAATGAAGGCAGTAAACAACAGTGGGTACGTGTGTGTGTGTGTGTGTGTGTGAGAGTGTGTCATCAGCTGATTAAACCTTTTTATAAATCTGCAGCAGTAAAGGTTAAGAAACCTTTTTGAGTTGTACATGTCCAGTGTGCAGAAATATAATATGATAAGAATGTTTTCTTCCACTGTAGTTCTTCTACATGACAGCCACCATACCATCATTCTCCTACATATCAGCTACCATCGTTCTCCTACATATCAGCTACCATAGTTCTCCTACATGTCATCTACAATAGTTCTCTAACATATCATCTACAATAGTTCTCCTTCATGTCAGGTACTATAGTTCTTCTACATGACGGCTACTGTAGTTCTTCTACCTGACGGCCACCATACCATCGTTCTCCTACATGTCAGGTACTGTAGTTCTTCTACCTGACGGCCACCATACCATCGTTCTCCTACATATCAGCTACCATAGTTCTCCTACATGTCATCTACAATAGTTCTCCTACATGTCAGCTTCAATAGTTCTCCTTCATGTCAGGTACTGTAGTTCTTCTACATGACAGCTACTGTAGTTCTTCTACCTGACGACCACCATACCATCATTCTCCTACATATCAGCTACCATAGTTCTCCTACATGTCATCTACAATCGTTCTCCTACATATCAGCTACCATAGTTCTCCTATATGTCATCTATCATAGTTCTCCTAAGTGTCAGCTACTGTAGTTCTCCTACATGTCAGCTACCATTGTTCTCCTACATATCAGCAACCATAATTCTCTAACATGTCATCTACAATAGTTCTCCTACATGCCATCTATCATAGTTCTCCTAAGTGACAGCTACTGTAGTTCTTCTACATTTCATCTACCATAGTTCTCCTATATGTCAGCTACCGTAGTTCTCCTACATTTCATCTACCATAGTTCTCCTACATGTCATCTACCGTAGTTCTCCTACATGTCAGCTACCATAGTTCTCCTACATGTCATCTACTGTAGTTCTCCTATATGTCAGCTACCATAGTTCTCCTACATGTCAGTTACCATAGTTCTCCCACATGTCAGCTACCATAGTTCTCCTACATGTCAGCTACCATAGTTCTCCTACATGTCATCTACCGTAGTTCTCCTATATGTCAGCTACCATAGTTCTCCTACATGTCAGTTACCATAGTTCTCCCACATGTCAGCTACCGTAGTTCTCCTATATGTCAGCTACCATAGTTCTCCTACATGTCAGTTACCATAGTTCTCCCACATGTCAGCTACCATAGTTCTCCTACATGTCAGCTACCATAGTTCTCCTATATGTCAGTTACCATAGTTCTCCCACATGTCAGCTACCATAGTTCTCCCACATGTCAGCTACCATAGTTCTCCTACATGTCATCTACCGTAGTTCTTCTACATGTCAGCTAACATAGTTCTCCCACACATCAGCTACCATAGTTCTCCTACATGTCATCTACCGTAGTTCTCCTACATGTCAGTTACCATAGTTCTCCAACACATCAGCTACCATAGTTCTCCTACATGTCAGTTACCATAGTTCTCCAACACATCAGCTACCATAGTTCTCCTACATGTCAGTTACCATAGTTCTCCAACACATCAGCTACCGTAGTTCTCCTACATGTCAGTTACCATAGTTCTCCAACACATCAGCTACCGTAGTTCTCCTACATGTCAGTTACCATAGTTCTCCAACACATCAGCTACCATAGTTCTCCTACATGTCAGTTACCATAGTTCTCCAACACATCAGCTACCATAGTTCTCCTACATGTCAGTTACCATAGTTCTCCAACACATCAGCTACCATAGTTCTCCTACATTTCATATACCGTAGTTCTCCTACATGTCGTCTACCGTAGTTCTCCTATATGTCAGCTACCATAGTTCTCCTACATGTCAGTTACCATAGTTCTCCTACATGTCATCTACCGTAGTTCTTCTACATGCTTGGCACACAGGAGAAGTTTCAGTTCTGCAACCTCACCACTAGATGTCACTTGATCTTACGCACTGGACCTTTAAAGCTTCTGTTTCTGTTTAAAGACTGAAGATGCATGGTTTTCACCTGACAGCAGTCACATGACTTTCTGATTTATTTATTGATCATTTTACAGTCCCGTCAGTTTGAAGTCTGCGTTGTTTGAAAAGAAAAAACTGTTGATTTGATACAGAAACAAACTGAATACCTTCAGAAGTACATAACATACACAACATACAAGTACAGAGACAGTAAAGCTAAAGTATGTTGAGTAAAGATGAATGAAACAGTTATATTTATTAAAATGTATAATGAATACAAATATTTACAGTGTGTAAAGCTGTGGTTCAAAGTATTTATTACTGTACTGGAATACAGTTTTTAAGGTACTTGCATTTAACATGAGTATTTCCATTTGATGATCCTTTTGATACTTGTACTGCACCACATTAATCTGACAGCTGCAGTTATCCTGTGGCGTTTTCATATTAAACATGTGTAAATCATAAAGAATATTGTATATAGGACCATCATCATCATCAGAAATCAACTCATGCAGACACTGGACAGAAACATGATGAAGAGCTCCTCCTGCTGTTCACTGACTATAACTGCACACGTGATTTTTGGAACCAATCACAGTGCAGTATTGAGGATTCAGTCCAATTCAACAGAACCTAGATCAGATACATACAGACACACAAAGCTGGACGAAGATCAAACATAAACGCTGACAACAGATGTAGTAATAGAAAAATGAGACAAACTAGGGATGATGCAGAGTACAAAGGGTGCTGGAATAATTATGGTATGATTAATGTTAGGGAGACAGCTGCAGGTATTTGCTCATATACTTTTTCAATCAGTCAATCAGTCATTTATTTGTCACTTGGAATTATACAAGATACAAATCCAGTAAAATGTGATCCCATCAGCTCCTCTAATTCGTGCTCTGTAAATTAGTCCTTTTGTGTCTTCTTACATTGTTTTCTGTTGCTTTATAATCATCTTTGATTCCGGATGGTGTTTTCTGGTTGTTGAAAGGTTTAACTGTTCACAGATCCCGACCCCAACATGATGGCTGTAGGGTCGCTCCACCTGAACAAGGGCAGCAACTTCGCTCTGAGGCCGGCTCTATATGGTGTTTAGCAGTGATCCACAGCAGGAACAGGACAGCACCTCACATTCCCACTGTCACATCATAAAGCACACATGTCCTCTCCTTCTCTCACCAGGGTCCTAGTTCAGCGTATAGAAAAGATGTCACCTAGTTGAATGGTGCTGTCCAGGATTTAGCCAAATTTCATGGGATACTGATATTCAGTTGGAAACTGATGCGGCACGAAGGTAGCTAGTTCAGCCGATGCCCATCCTCTCCATATTTCCTCGATGTTTAGTGACGTTAACATTTGAAAACCTCAACCTGGCTAGCTAGCAGCTAGCTAGAAGTTGGCAGGAGAGTTTACAGACAGGTGAGTTGATGTCCTCATCCTGATGAGTGACTCGCAGCTACAAGCCACCATTGTCCCAGCAAACCACATAAAGCACCACCAACACTGGCTAAACAGACATAAGAGGGTAAATTTAGCACAAATTGAGCAGAGTTGACAGAGAGGCGACTGGAAACATCAGCACCTATGTCATACATCATCACTGACCTTGTATAGCTGCTTCTGATCCTGATCTTTATATACATGAAGTCATTGGATAAGACAGTCTATATACAGAGTGCCTTTATTTGTTTTAATGATATATACATGTGAAAAAATGTATTAGTATATTGTGTATCATTTACAGGTATAGTGAAGTACAATGAGTGTTTGGTGTTCCAGATTCCTGACAGTATGTGACTGGTTTTCAGTGTTCATTACTGTGACGGCCTGTAGAAATAGGCCTATTACGCCGACCAGAGGAAAGAAGTTGGAACAGGTTGTGTCCAAGGTGTGATGTCTGCAGTGATGTTCATTAACTCTGGAGGTGGAAAAGTCCTGGATGGAGTACAGGTGACAGGTTGTGTCCAGGGTGTGATGGTCTACAGTGAGGTCACCTGACTCTGGAGGTGGAGAAGGCCTAGATGGAGGACAGGCTACCAACAGTGATTGTTTCTTCAGTCCTGACTGTCTGTTGTAGTCTGCTCCTGTCCTGTTTGGATCCAAACCACGCAGTGATGGACGAGCAGAGAACAACAGGAGCTCCTGAGGCAGGTTGAATCACAGACAATTGATAAACCAAGATGGCCCACTTTAGATTCATTTCCTTGACCTGTGACACATGGGTTTGGCCTCTTAGGAGACTAGCCGTGCAGCCCTGAATCTATTTATTCCAATAGGAAAAGTGAATGTGAGTGCAGATTGTGGCCGTTTCCTTCATACTGGACCCATTTTTCACAAGCCCCAACCCATGTGGACATTCTGACATTAAGACAGCATTTTTTCAGACAGACGGAGGAAATCGGAGGAAAATTAAGTGAATTCGTGACATGTCTCTGTTTCAGCAACATACTCTCATCAGAACTGGCAACAACTGACGTGATCTTACACTCAGTTGATATCAGACATAAAGCTAGCAGATAGAAACGAGCGACAAAATAAGGAGCAAATATTAAATTTGTACTGTGTACAGTGTTGTATTATTTTGAATCTGATTTCATATATCATGTTGTTTACTACACATCCAAACAAGAAGGGTCAGGGGGGATGCGGGGGAAAGACGACCATGCCCACTTAGGAGACTGAGGGAAGTTATACTTCCTGAGCTGGTGCAGGAAGTACACCCTCTGATGGTATCCATGTTGGACATCCACTTCAGGTCCTGGGAGACAGTGAATCCCAGAATCCTGAAGGTTTCCACAGCAGACACAGTGTTGTTCAGGATG